TTGGCTGTCATAAAATTGAAAAAGATTAATGTCAGCGTAACCTCACACTGCTCTTTACAGGTCGTCTAACGATAACACGCCGTGACGTACTAATTGCGGTCGATTTCGCGTTACGTAGCACTTTCTTACCCTCGACATGCACTTTTTTTTACTTGTGAACGCACCCTTTATCTGTATGCTATACCCATGATACTCTCAGCAACCTAATTTTTAATCGGTAATAACAATATTGCTATTCAAAAGAATGATATTGAATAAATTTAAAAATACGGAGCTCAGAGTGATGAAAACAACTTATTATTTTCTTCACTCGATCTCCAAATTTTTTAATTTATTTATATATATATATATACATAAATAAAAATTTATATACTTATTATATTTTAATATAATTTTTATAATCATAATCGACATACACAGAATTTACAATAAAGATTTAACAAACAATCTGTGTGCAGACTTTTATAATTTATTATTTAATATGTAATCTAATTTTTAACGATATTTAGATAATTTCTAACTGTACTTGTATTCCTTCTCGAATCAAGACTTGTATTATACACAGATTTGTATTCAGATCGAAATATACTTTCAATTTATTCCATTTCTGAGAGACGTGTTCGTGTACTGTAACACTGCGTACCAATCGACCTGATCTACAATGTATGACGGATTAAGAAATTTCGACAATTTACGTTTGGGCACGATAATGTGTCGCTTGCATGCAAATAGGAGATGCAACGTACTGGTTGCGTGTTTGGAAATTTCACGCGCCTCTCGGCGATAATTCGTACGCACGCCGGCGGGCAAAAAAATAAAATTTCTACTGCCGCCTACGTCGATACGCCGTATACTATCGCCATTCTCCGATTACCGATTTTATCGAGTCTCAATAAGATCGCGCGATCGCGGCGAACGCGATATTCTCGCTTTCGTCACGGTGGTATTGTTCCTTCCCTAAGTGCCATACCGTTCCATATATAATCGTATAATCCAATACGAAATACACATAACTAAAGCGCATCGGTCAAAGCGTGATTTCTCCTTTTGCAATCTTCGAAAGAATGCGCAACGTAATTTCAAGAGCTTTTAAATGATGACGTAAGATTACAGATTGCTACATGAGAGTAAAAAACTTATGCCTTCAAGAGACAAGAATAACGTCTTTATGAATACCGTTAATTTCTGTCGGTATAAAAAAGCGAGTGTAAAAGATAACGAATGTCTTGTACTATTTATAACATAAAATATGCAGATATCGTCACGTGGATTCCCTTACACCGTAATAACATCAAAAACAATTTAATAATTATTATATTAGTTGATGATCCAATCTAAATCTTATAAGTTACAAGTATTTCGGACAACTGGATTTTTGCTTTCGTAGTTACCTGTAAGAATTAAGACTGATACTCGTTTCTATCAATATAGAAGATGGTTCTATCGTGAATCGAGTTACCATAGAAATGTTTAATTTTTTTATATAATGATACTGAAATTGACGTGAGCAAAATGATAAGTAACGATGAAATAAGAGAAAAAAAAATGTTGAGAATGTACATAACTTTTCACGTCTAACAAATAAGGCTCGCAGGCACTTCTCTGATTAACTGCACACAAATCTTACCGTGGATTTTTCTCAAGAACGACATTATAATAATTTAAATTACGATTTTAATGCTTACAAAAAATAATAAGTCAATAGCCATTCTGGAAAAATATTTACGTGCATAAACTTGCATATAAATTTAACCTTGAAAAGTAAACATAATCTCATCTTGTTTTCGTTCGATGAAGATACAGCTCTTGATTTACTATCGTATATGTTCCATACTATTTCATTAAGATATAAATGTAGTTTTAATATTTTACCCAAATTATACAGATATTTGTTTTGGGTGGAACATACCAAATTTTCGGCACTTTACTAAAGAACCATCTTAACTTTAATTTTGGTTTAACTCACTCTTCATTTTTTTCTAATTATCAGAGTTAAAAAAAGGTAAAGGTTCGTACTCAAAACGCGTTTATAACGATATGAACACGTATTCAGCCATATAATTCACGTTACTATAGAATTTTAGAGATAAAAGCACACATTTATCGATAAAAGCGTATTCTGAATACGGACCGAACAAGAAGTTGAACTGAGATTACAAGTTAATCTACATTAATATCTGCTTCTACCAATGTAGATTAACTTTAATCTCGGTTTTACTTACTCTTTATCATTTTCTAATTTTTAGAACAGGAAAAAGAGACAAAGTGAGTTAAACCGAGATTAAAGTTAATTTACATTGGTAGAAATGAACATAAGATAGAAACGAACACATTAATCTTTCGTCAAACAGTGCTTAAAAATGAAAAAAATTGCAGTGATCTTTCGATGAAGGAAAAAACAGGAAAAGGGAGCAAACTCACTGGCATCGGTGGATGAAGACCACGAAATGCGGAGCTGCTCCACTTGCGCTGTCTAGCCTGGTGATAGTGGCTGCTTCTGCTGTAGGCGCTGTTGTTATGTTGATGATTGCCGTAGGAACGCATGGCGGGCCGGAAGCCCGGATACGGTACACCATGCTGGAAGTCGGCAGCGTCGAAGCGGTGATGATGGGGCTCGTGCAGGAAGCCGTCGTTGTGAATCGGTGGCAATCTGCCGTAGGCGGCGGCAGCCGCATGTCGATCGACGTGCGACGACGGCGTCGTCTGCTCGTGGATGTCGCCGATCTTACCAATCGGGCCGTCCGACGACGGGCGTCCGGTTGGAAACGACGGCATCATAGCCGGATGATGGTGCCCGTAAAAAGGAGGGAAGCCGAAAGAGTTAGGCAGCCCGACGGGACGGTATCCCTGATGATGCGGCAGCGGTGGCGGTGGCGGTTGTCCGGGAGCGTCCAGAACGTATCCCGGCTTCTTGTCGCCGTAGTGATAACCGTCGTTGCTCAGCTGCTGCCGCTGATAATCCTCCCGGGGCTCACCTTTGATCTCGACGCCGGCCTCCGTGGGCTCGGGCATCTCGACTTTAACCCTCACACCGTCGTTCCTGTCTATGCCGGGCTCGCTTTTGATGGCGAAACCAACCGGCGATCTCGCCGGGGGACTCGTCGTGTCGGAGTCCTCGTTGCAGCCACCTACACTGGCCTGCTGCATTCTCGGGAGGTTCACACCGATTCGACACCGCAGTGGTGTTTCTCGTACGACCACGACGGCATCATCGTCCTGCGAATTCCTTGTACAATCGTCGGGTTGCGATTGTCGGGTGATTAGATCGATCGTCGATTAGCTGTAGTGGTACTGTGAGAGCAAGGCGAGACGGAAAACACAGTGGAAACGACGAACGATAGTGGAATCGGATGCGCATTATTTAATTGCGGAAGTTTACTTAAATCCCGGAATGGCTCGGCCTTACCGCGAATCGGCAGAGAACCGATACAAGGAGCATTTTCCGCTGCTGCGAGAGTATCGCGTCACACGGTCCGTGAGGGCGAGAATTCCGTCAGAGCGTCGTATTCGACACGAGGAACGCATTCGATGCACGCTGTAAACGCATAGATGACGTATAATCCTCCGGAGCATTCGTGATCGTCTTAGTCCTATATTGTGGGATTTCCTAGTGTAATTCTGCGTGGAAACCCTTCGTGCACACATACACACGCACACACGTGCGAGTCTCTCTCTCTCTCTCTCTCTTTCTCGGAGAACGGGCGTCGTCCGTCCGCGGACGACACGTTCACCCACGGTAGAAGCGTGGGTCGGTCGCGCTGGATTTCGGTCGCATGGAGGGGGAAGAACGAAGGGAGGGCAAGGGCGGCGTGACAGTTTCCGTGTCACGTGTCCACCGACCTTAGGCCCCGCCTACGACTCCGATTTTCCCTGACGAGCCAGGATCGTTATACCTGGCCCTTACCGAATTCGTCATTCGTCGCTCGAGTCGAATCACAGGGCGGGCGTCCGCGCAAAAGGGGAGAGGGGAGACGACAGTCCCTCTCGAGACGCTGCGATTGCGAGGGAAGCGAAAACAAATGTCACTTCACCAAGAGCTCCCGATTTCTCGTGCGGTCACCCGCGCGTCACTCCTCTCTCCCGTCGCTACCACCCTCGCTTGCCCACCACCTTCCCTCCCTCCTCCTCCTCCTCCTCCTCCACCACCACTTCCTCCTCCTCCTCTTCCTCCTCCTCCTCCTCCTCCTCCCCCGCTTCCTCCGTCCTCCCTCTCCTCTTGTGCGACAAACCGCCGAGCGTGAAGCACCACGCGAACACCGGACGCGCGATTGGCGCGTTTTCTTACCGCTACCGCCGCCGTCGTCGCCGTAGCTGCGAGAACTCTTTACGGTACACTGCCTCGAGAACGCATCGCGAGTCTCCCGCGCGGAACCACGTCGAGTACCGGACCGGGACGGTTTCGCGCCTCCGCGCGATGCACGCGTGTGCGGGCCGGTATGCGTGCGGTATGCGTGCGCGTTTGCTGCGTGCGCTTTCCGCCGGCTCGCACACAGGACACGTATAGAGCACCAACGGACGTCGTACCGTCGTCAACGTCGTCGTTGTCGTTGCCGTCGTCGCCGTCGCCGTCGTCGTCGTCGTTGTCGTCGCGAGCAGCCGCCCGGTTTTATCACGAAGGCGACGAGAGAAGCTGTCGGCCGGCGCGAAACACGCAGCGGGGCCCGATACGCAGAGGAAGGCCGGCGGCCTCGGTCGAGCTGATCGCGTACGTACGAGTTTCGTTCCACGCAGCGTGAAACTCTTGGCGGAGGTGCGCGGTGCGCGGCGCGCGGCGCGCGGCGGCCACCACCAGTCGACGGGAGCGCACGAATCTACCCGAATACGCCCGAGAGAGCTTCGATATATCTCTCTACCTACCTACCTACCTACAGAGTACTCCGGCCGCCTCCCGCCTTCCGCAAGCGAACACCGCTCTGCCGCCACCGCCACCGCCGACCGACAGATCCACCAAGTGGGTTCACCTTTTGTGAAGCCGTCGCGTCGGGTCTCTTGCTTGCTTGCTTGCTTGCTTGCTCTCTCTCTCTCTCTCTCTCTCTCTCTCTCTCTCTCTCCCTCGCCGAACTCGTCGGAAGCGTCGCTTGCTCCGGTAGAATCATACTCCGTCGTCTTCTGAGTCGAACGAGTTCGGTTCGAGACAACTGAATCTTAAAATCGGAGCATATAGTCGGAAAAAATGACTCTCAGGATCCCACGGCTAATATATCACGCGAAATACTGCAAAAGGAAGTCGATCCTATTCTGGCTTTAAAATTTGTTATTTTCTACGATATACGATATTTAGATTTGTCATGAAATGTTTGAGTAAAGCAAATTGATTGGTAAAATGTCCGTAATGATCAGAAATATGAAAATTGCGTTAATTATATGGCGATGATATATGTTACGATTTTGGATAAATGTTAGTAATACGGGAATTTGAGACAATTGAATCTTAAAGGCGAAATATATGGTCGGAAAAAATGTTTCTCAAAATCTCACGCAATCACGCAGCTAGTATATCACGCGAAAGGAGAAGTCGACTTAATCTAACTTTAAAATTTGTTGCTTTCTATTATGCACGATATTTAGATTTGTTATGAGATGTTTGAATAAAGTAAATCGATTGCAAAATGACCGTAATGATTAAAAACATGAATATTACGTTAATTATACGGCAATGTTACACGTTACTAATTTGATGACGATAAATGTTAATAATACAGGAAACAGGCTAAAAACCGGAGCAGTCAATGATCCCGAAAATATACATCTCAATTAAACGCGGTATTGAATCCTGTAAAACCGAGACGGCTGGTTACACTAGCTGTTTAGATATAGGGTTCATCATCGAGTTCAGGACAGAATCGATGCAAAATTGCATTTGCAAATTTGGTTATCCACGAATCTCGTGTTTCGGTGCGTACGTTCGTTATATCGTCAACGGAGCGTAACTCATTTGTGTCCGTGATAATTCGGTATTTAATCGTTGATCGGGTTTAACCGACAAATTTCTCGTTCACCGGGTAGTCCGAGTTCAGATCCCGCGCACCTTTTCCCACGTGAGAATTCTTTTTTTTTCTTTCCCGCGTCGCTATTTTGTATCGCCTGCGCCAATAGTTGCGATGAGAACCGTCGGACGTGGGTATATGCTTGTGTACCCCGCCGCCGCACGATATATCAGGTTACATATCCGTTGCGTCATGTAAATTGATACCTGTACACGCTCGTACACCGATCGGGCATTTATTTAAGCCATAAATTATCGTAATGTCGATTGGACACGCTCCTAGGTACGATTTTACTAACCAGACCATCGGCGGCGGTTATGCTCGAGGCTGCGCGGAGACAATAAAACACGCGTTCGCGCGCCGACCACGCGCGCTTAGAAGTCGTCGTATTACGCAATTACAAACAAGGAAGCCATGCACAGACGTCATTTAAGTTTACGACGACGAATGGGACGGAAACGGAATTATCGTCTTTCAACACTTATACTTAATTGCGAATTAAATCGCACGATTACATTTTCTGCGTCAAGTAAAGCAGACAGCGACGCGGATCGATATTACGCGGAAAGGATATGGTTTTGCTGAAGTATTTAAAGATTTAATCAAATACAGATTTGAAAATGATCTTATTGGGCTATCAAAATAGTTATGTAAGGCACTCAATCTCGTTGTTAGAATATCAAAAGTGTTTACAGTATCACGCTTTAGTTCTTTACATAATTAGTTTGATGACTCAACAAATTATTTTCAGATCTGTATCTAGTTAAACTTTTAGAGATTAGCAGAATTGTTGTGCTTTCCGTGTGAGAATTTGAAAGCGATAAGATGAGTGTGTGAGATTATGAATCGCTATAAAAAATAGTTATGTATTTTTGAAAATTTCAAGAACGTGAAATTATAATAAAGTCAAGTTTACATCAAGTAGGAGTTATTTTAGAAAAAAATTATAATATTATTCGATACATTTTTGACATGATAATAATTTTTAATATTTATCTCTTTTCATCACAAAATTAATTCGTCAAAAATGTCGAATGACATGATTTTTTTTAAATGACTCCTACTTGATGTTATCTTGATTTTATCATAATTTTGTGTTCTACCTTTGGGATCTCGCAATCAGAACTTTAGTGTCTGCATTTATACAAATATCTTGAGCCATCTATAGCTTTGTTATTACAAACTGCGCGGCTCTCAAACTTTATTCAGCGCGAATGAAAAGGATTGTCCATTATCACAGATCGTCAACGAGCGAGTCCTCCATCGTTGGGCGTTGCTGACGATGTCAAAGGATTTATAGTGAAGCATTTTTCGCGGATATTCATCTACTTTTAACATTCATCTCCACACAGTATACGCGCGGGTACTCTCTCACAGCGATTTCTTAGCTCGTATAAAACCGTCACGCAGATAGAGATTTCCTCCGCGAGGAAACGAGGCTCTTTTTTTTTTTTTACAAGCGTCTCCATGTTTTGTCTCGCGTGGCAGGTAAAACGACGCTGATGCCGCAGGTATTGCGTAGAGCGGCCGTTGCGGGCTTCGCCTTTCGAGGTAGCCTACGTGCACCCATCCGTATTATACCGCGTAGCCGAGACAAAAGGAGCAGGAAGGACAGAACCGTGGGTACCCTCCTTTCCTCTCTCTCTTTCTGTCTTTCTCGCTTGCTGCCGCCCTTTTCTCTCCTTCTCCCTCTCTTTCTTCCAACGCGCAGCCCGTCGATACTCGGCTTATACGACTCGCGGGGCGAATCGATGCGTGTGTGCATGCACTCTCTTCGCAGCGGGATGACTGGTGAGAGAATTCAATTTCCGTCGTCGTTATCGTGCCTCCATCTTCAGCTCAGGCCACGCTCGGATCATCCTCGCTGACTCCTCGCCTTCCCCTCCCCGTCGCCGTCACTACTTGCCGGCAGTAACGAGACAAAGCCGTCATTGCCTTCGCTTTTGCCCGCGCGCCTCGTCTCGCGACCTTTCCGGATGGACCGTCTCAAGAGCGCACGCGCGCGAGCACGTTATCGAGAGAACTTCTCGATAACGATCAACCTGACCGACTAGTCTAGAGTGCATGTTTAATTATGTCGAACGAATCGGAACGCATTCGCGTCCTGGTGCTCGCTATCATATCGGCGATCGATTCAGATTAGATTCGATCGAGACTCATAATAACGACGATCGAAAGAAACTCTTTGATTCTTCTGCTGAAACGCCAACGCTCAGATAGCAATCATATTTCTAGGCTTCAGG